TCTACCTTCCCCCTAGCTCCAATTGTAAAGAAAATTCTACTCAGACTTTCTACATCAGGTCATGCTAATTGAGCAGCTCATGGTACACATAGATACCACTCCCCATAGTTTGGTACACATGATACCACTCCCCATACTCTTATATACATAGATATCACGCCCCGTACTCTGGTACCCATAGATACCACTCTCCATACTCTGGTACACAAAGATGCAACTCGGAACTCCCCCTACTCTGATACACATAGATTCCACTCCCTATACTCTTGTATACATAGATACCACTCCTCGTACTCCCAATACTCTGGTACGCATAGATATCAATATACTCTGGTATACAAAGATACCAATCCCCATTCTTTGGTATACATAGATTCCACTCCCTGTACCCTGGTATACATAAATCATAAATACTACTCCTAATACTCTGGTAAACATTGAAACCACTCCCCATACTTTGATATACATAGATCCCAATCCCCATACTCTGGTATACATAGATAACACTCCCCATACACATACTCTGGTATACATAGATACCACTCCCCATACTCTGGTATATGTACAAAGATACCACTCCTCATGCTCTGGTATACATAGATACCACTCCCCGTACTCTGGCATACATAGATACCAATCCCCATACCCTGGTATATATATCATAGATACTACTNAGTATTACTCGAGGTATAGGATAGGATAGGCCAGGATTTTATACAGTATTACCTTTTTTAATCAAGTCATCTTTTTCACCAATATGCATACTAATCCCTAACCCTTCATAACCAATACTAATCCCATAACCCTTCATAACCAATACTCATCCCTTCTCTTTTAAACATAAACTCATCCTTAGAACCTTATCTTTACATTGCAAAGGAATTGAGTCTTTGCAACAAACTCTGACTTTCTCATCCCTATATCTTTTTATTCCAATGTCGTAGCCCTTTAATATTTCAAAATATGAATTCTGTTAGATCAAATAGTCTAAGCTTAATATACCAAATGTTTACAGCATTAGGTTGCAAAGATATGCGGATTAAAAAATTTGAGTTTGTGGCAAAGATTCAATTCCTTTGAAACACTTATCCGAGCGCTCATAATCAATAATCCATGCCCAACTTTTGCAATAAATTCCATTTCTTTTTTTTCTTGAGAAATTTTTTCAACGTTGAGCCTGATATTACTTAAGATATCATCATCCTTTATATTATTGACTCAACACCAATATATTATCATTTAACATATCCTTTCAATTCTGTAC